GTAAGGACTCGGAAAGATAGGGACACTCGCCGTTGCCTCTTCGTCATATCAGCCTACGCCCCCACTGACTGCAGCCCAGATGATGTAAAAGATGAGTTTTACAGAAAGCTTTCGGACCTCCTCCAAAACGTTAAGCGCTCTGATATAGTAATAATTGCTGGTGACTTCAATGCACAAGTAGGTAGACTAAGTGAAAATGAAAGACACCTAGGTGGATGTTACGGTCTCGCGGCTCAAAGAACAGACAATGGCGACCGTCTGTTGCAACTGTGCTCAGATAACCAACTATTTCTAGCAAACACTAATTTTAAGCATAAGGAAAAACACCTTTTGACCTGGCGACCCCCGAAGTCGTCTCAACGTTGGACACAACTAGATCATATCGCCATCAGCCACCGATGGAGGGGTTCGATAGAGGACTGTCGCTCGTTCTGGGGCACATGTTTAGATTCAGATCATGCCCTAGTGCGAGCACGTATTTGTTTGAGGCTTGCTGGACGTAGGAAAGACACCGTAAGGAAGCCTCTTAGGGCTTTACTTGATGATAATCAAGCTAAGAAAATATTTCAGGAGGAACTAGAAAAACAGTTGGGCGACCATGCAAGTGATTCCCATCCGGATTCAGGTTGGAATGATATAAAGAAGGCTGTGGAAACAGCAGTGATATCTGCTAGCAAGGTAAACCATAAGGCTAGGATGAAGCCGTGGATTTCAGTCGCATCCACCGAACTGATGGATGCACGAAAACGCATCCCACCTGACTCTGAACATGATGAAGAGCGTACTCAACTTAGGCGCAGACTTATAAAAAGCCTACGTAACGACCGTGAACAGTGGTGGGTGGCGAAAGCAAAAGCGATGGAAAAGGCAGCGGCGATAGGCAACACTAGACAACTTTTCCGCCTTATCAAAGAAACCGGTATTAGGAACCCGAATGTAAGCGAGACTATCTCGGAAAAGGATGGTCTTATTATCCATTCTCAATCTAGGAGGCTGGACCGATGGGCAGAACACTTTAGGGATCAGTTCAACTGGCCTTCAGCCACTCTTCGGTTGCCCACGATCTCCAGTCATCCTGAATGGCAAATCGATTTAAGTCCTCCCAGTTTACATGAAGTTGAGAAAGCTATAGGAAATCTAAGGAGAGGTAGAGCGGCAGGTCCCGATAGGCTTACCCCTGAGATGTTTAAGGATGGTGGTCCAGTTTTAACGGTTAGACTGACCGAGATCCTAGGTAGAATCTGGGAAATGGACGTAATCCCATCTGACTGGTCTCAGTCGCTAATTGTCCCAATCTACAAGAAAGGACAGAAGTCCTCTTGTGACAATCACAGGGGAATAAGTTTAACTAATATAGTTTCTAAATTGTTAGCCTCGATTATACTTAGACGTCTAACTAGAGCTCGTGAAGAGCAGACTCGAGAAAACCAGTCTGGCTTTCGACCTGGACGTGGTTGTATAGACCACATCTTCACACTACGACAGGTCCTGGAACACAGACACATATAGGTGCCCGGAAATAGTTATCTTCCTTGACCTTGAGGCGGGATTCGACTCAGTGGATCGTGAGGTTCTGTGGCAGTGTCTGTCATTGAAAGGTGTACCAAAGAAGTACATTAACCTTATACAAGCACTCTACTCGAACACCACTGGTCAGGTGAGAGCATATGGCGAACTGTCATCTGAATTCTCTACATCAAGTGGTGTCCGTCAGGGCTGCCCACTCTCTCCATTCTTGTTCAACTTTGTCGTAGACATCCTCTTAGAGTTAACATTAAGTTCGTCAGATTTTTCAGGGGTTGACCTTCTACCAGGAAAGTCGCTTACTGATCTAGAATATGCCGATGACATAGTTCTATTCGGTGAAGACGCTGACAAAATGCAGAGTCTTCTGACTACCATAAGCAACAATGCGAGCATGTTCGGGATGCGGTTTTCCCCCTCGAAATGCAAAATGTTGCTTCAAGACTGGGTTGCTTCGGCACCTGAACTAGTGATAGGGAGTGAAGTAGTCGAGCGTGTAGATCACTTCACTTATCTGGGGAGTCTCATCAGTGCCGATGGTCTGGTGACTGACGAAATCTCAGCTCGGATACAGAAAGCTCGATTGGCTTTTGCCAACCTGCGTCACTTATGGCGTAGGCGTGATATCCGTTCGCTAACCAAAGGGCGGGTGTACTGCGCAGCAGTTCGTTCCGTTCTCTTATATGGCCGTTAAGAGTAGAAGATGTTCGTAGGTTACTAGTATTCGATCATAGATGTTTAAGAAGCATTGCTCGTATATCGTGGGACAGCCGAGTAAGCAATGCTGTCGTTAGGAAACGAGTACTAGGTAAGGATGGCAGATCAATCGATGAAGTGGTGAAACTTCATCAGTTGAGGTGGTTGGGACATGTGTTACGTATGCCTAACCACCGGCTGCCTCGACGAGCTATGTTTTGTGGTGTAGGAGTAGGTTGGAAGAAAGCTAGGGGCGGCCAGACCAAAACATGGCACAAATCCATGAAGTCACTGACAAGTGGACTGAGTCATGTTGGTAGATGTAGACTACCTGGTTGGGGTCCGCGAGACGAAAGTCATCAATGGTTAGAGACCTTGAACGACATGGCTCAAAATCGTTTGCAATGGCGCAAGTGCATCCACTCTTTGAGCTCTCTCAAATCCTAATCTTCTGGATTAGCCAGCACCTCTACCTTTGTCTTTCTAACCTTATCTCACTGAATTATATTTTTTGAATAATATCTTAAACCCTAGTCTTCTTTATTATAACATTAATACCTCTACCATCATTATCACCATGGGATTTGATTTGACATTTGCGTCTCTGTGCTAATAATGTGGTATGGCAACATGAACTTATGTACATACGTACGAAGTTCTACGTTGCAACTGACTGACTGACTGACTCTGCTTAAAAGAGACATTAATCTCTTGGACCGGGTGCAGAGACGAGCAACCAAATGGGTGATAGGGTTGAAAAATAAACCGAACGACGATAGACTCCAGCACTTGGGATTATTCCCAATGAGTTACAGGAGTCAGAGGTGATGTGATTATGGCGTACAACATATTACTTACGCCAAACCATCCCAACATGAGCACCTTACCGATGCATCACCACCACTCCCCTCGAGGCAATCCTCGAAAGATTGCACATCAAAGAGCGAATACTCAGATTCGTGCACACCTTTTCTCATTGCGAGTCGTCGCAACTTGGAATGCTCTCCCAGCCGAGGTAGTTACAGCCTCCTCAGTGGACTGCTTTAAGAAGAGACTGACAATCGTCACTACCAATTAATAAACTAAATTCCTCTATATATTACTCAGTTCTGAAATTTTATTCATACTATCATTAGAATTTTATCCTTATTACTCTCCACACTGCAACTAACTGATCTCCGGTTTCGTAATGTGACGGCTGCTAGTATCCAGAAACCCTACTGCCCTGAAACAAACGTCTTCATTCAAATCCCGAGACATACAAACTGACAACCAACTGCTAGAATTAAACAGTCGAGTTGCTAGACCTCCATCCATTAGACATCACCGAACACCTGTAACCGTACCGAAAGAACAAGAATCGAGCGCGAAGAAATCAAATTGGTTTACATTAGCTCGTGAAAAAGATATTGGATATTGGTTACTTATGGCTTTGCTGCTGTTAATTTTGTCTCAATGATTGAGCCCTGCGGAAAAACGTATCAGAACCACGGACAGGGGCGACTAATTACGAACCCAAATTACTGTCTAAGTACTTCACAAGTGCATCGACCGTGATCTCTTCGCAGATGAACTAAGACAGACCCCGATTATGCAAATTAATTTATGCAGTATTGTGATGAACAGAAAACATCAAATTCTTTGTACTAACTAATAATACCCAGAGCTGTTCAGCTTGTACCCTTATGGTCACATATGGACTGGTAATCAGATCAAAGAAATCTGTCAGCACAGCAAAAGGTAATATAGGTTGAATACATATTAGCCGCGCGGTAATTTACAAAGAAATAGTTGTTGTATACAGACAGGATACACGTATAAGTATACGTGTGAAACACGCTGGTGAATGCTACAAGGAAATTCAGTGAAAAATTGTTAAAAATTGTCAGATTTGGTGTGCTATTTAGTCTCTAAACAAATAAAAAAAACTAGAGAAGAATGAAACCATAAGAAAAAGAATTCTCAGTAAAAAATAAAATTCATCTACGAGAGTTAGTTAAGCCTGAATGTCTTCTGAAAAGTTATCTCATTCATTAAGTTAATGATGGAAACATCATCATTGTCCCAGAGGCCAACTTAATTCTAGTAGTGGTGCCTAAGCAGATTTGAGGCGTTCTATGGGAGATTTAAAAGCGTAAGACATACCGCAACTTAGTAAACTGGCGTCAGAAACAAAATAGGGTATTATGAAAACATACACCAAAATTATGAAAGAACGTAAAAATTAGTCATAAGACGAGAAAGTCCTAGACAGTATCGAACGGCACTATTAGTTCATCTAAATAAAAGCATTAGCTCTAATAATATTCATAGTAACCACTCATCATGGAATAACACATCACAGGGTTTAAATATTATTGATATGCCTAAGTGTTACGGTATTCCTTTTACAAATACAAATAGTATAGAAAACAAAAATATGTTTACAAATATCTACCCTGAAATAACCCTTATTATTGATTCACTTTTGTTAAGTTTGGTGTGGTTTATTTCAATCTTAACAAATTTCTGGGATTACTTGGAGACGCTGAATAAGCATTATGTAGCTTGAAAAATGCTTCATATAATAGTAACAGTAGACGGCGCATACTACTATAGTTACCAGTTTGACATGTTTTCATATTTTACACTCAAAGCTAGGAAAGCTGTTGAACCTTAGTACATCCGCATTCTCGCATAAGGATTTAATCACATTTTACTGATGTACGTTAAAGCTTTTGTAATATCAGAAATCATGAACACATTCCTATATATTCACAAAAATAAAGACGTATAAACGATGAGATCTTCAGTTATTTTATCTATCAAGCATTTATATGTAATAACCTGTATTTAAAAGGGAGATAGGTTGATATGGTTTACAAAGTGAACATCCTATATTACAGCATTTACTCAAGACGACCAGAATAAGCTGAACCTAACCGAAAAAGAAAGTGAAAACAACTTGACAAAATTGAACTTTATCATAAACAATATGAAGGGAAATATTTTACCAAGAGTTATAATAACACAGATAATTAAGGTACACGTAGAAAGGCGGGGTTAGGAAAGGCAAACAATCATATTTCGACAACGAGAAATAAGCATTTTTGCGTGAACTTTAAATTAAAATTTCATGGAAACATCAAACTTACATTTGCACAAGCTGTTGTTTCGTTAGAGAAATAGGTAGCATTTAACAATATGTGGATATAATAAAAGTGGAAAAATTACATACTTGAAAACACTGAAAACTTTCTTTAGAAGTTTGTACATAATTAACGATATTCACACATGTGTTTGTTTGCAAGCACTCGAAGACATTACAAATAAATCTATGTGCAAACATGATGATTGTCGATAGTGATTTTATACATACTAATTTGCAAACTTACCAGCTGACTGCAATCGAAAAAACAACTGGACAAACTGACCTCAGTATTCTGGAAAAGATGTATCAGCAACAATAACAATGATAGTAACAAATATCATCATCATTATTGATTTGTTTACAATCAGAGCAACAAGGAATGTAAAAAGGAAACGTTGTATGAATGAAGTTGAAAAATATCAACAATCAGTAATGCGGATCAGAACTAGAACAAAATTGTGGGAATGTAAGTGCATAAAAATGAAGATATGGAATGACACAAAAAACCTAATAAGTAATCAGACGCTATTTTGAACTGAAACATTGACGATCGATATCCCTTTTCTTAGATTTTTGGTAATTTGGGGGCAGTTACAACGGGATTGGATTCAATGATATAACGACGTGCTTCTGATTTATAATCGTACTGACAAGCATGAACCTCAGCGTAACGGTGCAGAGAACAGAAACTACGATCACAACTACATAAGGAAAATGAAAAAACCAGTGGTTTTAGCTAGTTTACAATATGAACAAAAGTTTTATACAACGATAAACAAATTTTGGGATTTAAACAGAATACACATTTACCAAAATTATGAATTATGCTAAAGAATGATAGCCTGTTACCGAGTAAATAAATTCATTTTCGAGCATAAACAAGAATTTCCGGAAAACTGTGGAAATATTAATTTAGTACATAGTTATTTCGCTAGAACAAGACTAATTTTTAATAAAAGCGTTTCAAATAAATAACCACAAAACAGTTCCAGTTTAAAAGTAAGTTAGAAAGTAACACCGAAGAACTTCGTGGGAAGGTACATTAATGTGAGTTACCTAACCACAATGGCACAGAGAAGCAACTGCCAATTCAAATCCCATGGTGCTAGATATAGTAGAAGTATTAGTGGTGATGGAGAAGTTTAGGGATCAAAGATATGGTTCGAGAAGTATAATTCAGTGAAATCAACTTTAAAAAAATAGAAAGATAAAGGTGATGAGGAACTCTGAAGGTTACGGTTTGTAAGCCCATTAAAAATGAATGAACCTGTGCCATTACAAACGTTCTAGGCCATGTCATTCAGGGTCTCTAATCATCGGTTCAGTCAGTCAGTTGCAACGTAGAACTTCATACGTATGTACATAAGTTTATGCTTCCATACCACATTAGCACAGAGACGCAAATGTCAAATCAAATCCCATACTGATAGAGATAGTAGAGGTATTAACGTTAATAAAGAAGACTAGGGTTCGAAGATATTATTCAAGAAATATAATTCAGTGAGATAAGGTTAGAAAGACAAAGGTAGAGGTGCTGGCTAATCCAGAAGATTAGGATTTGAGAGAGCTCAAAGAATAAATGCACCGGCGCCATTGCGAACGATTTCGAGCCATGTCGTTCAAGGTCTCTAACCATTGATGACTTTCGTCTCGCGGACCCCAACCAGGTAGTCTACATCTACCAACATGACTCAGTCCACTTGTCAGTGACTTAATGGATTTGTGCCATGTTTTGCTCTGGTCGACCCTAGGTTACTTACAACCTACTACTATACCACAAAACATGGCTCATCGGAGCAGTCGGTGGTTGGGCATACATAACATATGTCCTAACCACCCTACATGCTTGAGATTCACTAATTCATCTACTGTTCTACCATTCTTACCTTGTACCCGTTTCTTAACAGTAGCATTGCTTACTCAATAGTCCCAGGATATACGACCAATACTTCGGAGACACCTATCTTCGAAGACCAATAACCTCAACTGATACTGATCAAGTTTCGCACCCAAATAATAGGACGGAGAGAACTGCTGCACAGTACACTCGTCTTTTGGTTAGCAAACGGATATCTCGCCTACGCCATAGGTAACACAGGTTGGCAAAAGCCAACCGAGCCTTCTGTATCCGTACTGAGATTTCATCAGTTACCAGGCTATCAGCACTGATGAGACTCCCGAGATAAGTGTAGCGATCAACACGCTCAACTACTTCACCGCATCCCGTACATGCTTACAATGTTGCTTAGGATAGTTAGAAGACTGCATTTTGTCAGCGTCTGCACCAAGTAGAACTATGTCATCAGCACACTCTAAGTCAGCAAGCGTATCTCCTGGCAGGTGGATGCACCTGCGCCATTGCAAACGATTCTGAGCCATGTCGTTCTAGGTCTCTAACCATTGATGACTTTCGTCTCGCGGACCCCAACCAGGTAGCCTACATTTACCAACATGACTACAGCGATGCTGCAATCTCACAAGGAAGGAAGGGTTAGAAAACGTCGACCCTAAAAATGTCACACCTCACCCTACCTCACGCATTTCCGTCTCCGTCGGTAAGGGTGCCCACTAAGGGCCTTTAAGAGCGGAGCTAGTACTAAAAAATCCTTTCATATAAAGGCCGTGCGTGACCGGCCTCAAGCAGTTGTTCCTTGGGCTCTGCGGTCACGCACCAACACTAATCTATCTTCCTTTTCAGATTCCTCAAGATACAACCTCCCACGGTGTGTGGGCAGTCGGGAAATTACAACCGCCCTCATAACCGTAACAGCACGCGAGACCAAATTGGTCAAAATCAAATCCTTCCTACACCCACACATACCTCACTTATCTCTACGACTAACTCTACTCACAGTCCCTTTTCTCACTGCACCGCTAATGCAGACGAAGCGAGTTCACGAAACGTCGTTCCTGGTCTCTTGAAACCCCGTTTTAGACTATATGTTGGAGAGTTTAGTGTACGGTTAGGGGCGGCCAAACCAAAACATGGCAGAAATCCATGAAATCATTGACGAGTGGACTTAGCCATGTCGGTAATTGTCGACTAACTGGTTGGGGTCCGCGACATGATAATAGTCGATGGTTAGAGACCTTGAATGACATGGCTCAAAATCATTCGCAATGGCGCCGGTGCATTTATTCTTTGTGTTCTCTCTAATCCTAATCTTCTGGGTTCTTCAACAACTCTAGTTTTGACTTTCTAAACTTTGTACTTACGTACGAAGTTCTACGTTGCATCTGACTGACTGACTGACTTAGTACTTGGTATACTCTAAGTCAACAAGTGAGTCTGCTGGAAAAATTTCAACTCCTGAAAAATCAGATGATGAAAGCATCGTATTTAAAAGCACGTCAATAGCAAAGTTAAACAAGAATGGAGAAAGTGGACAGCCCTGACGAACACCACTTGAAGTAAACAATTCAAGTGGTGTTCATCGGGGCTGCCCACTCTCTCTATTGGTCATTCGGTTACTCAAGCTCGACCACCACGTCAAGATGGCAGCTATGGTCGGGCTATATATAGGTGTAAGAAAAATATTATGTAAGAGTAAGTATTAAATGCGCTATAGTTCATATGTTAATGTATGAATAAGTTGTGTTTTAATGTTTCTACAAAACAATGGCTAGTTATGGTCTCAAAAATAATTCTTAATAGTCGAAGTAGAAAATTCACTTACTAAACTAAAACTCAACAAAAATATTATTAGCTATTTTCAAAAGTATGAAATAAATACTCTTAACAAAAAAACCAATATTGTTTAAAACGAAAGTTGAGGAGATAGCATATACACTATTAATGCATTTCAATCTACGTAAGATTTATCAGCAATAGAAAACTGACTGAATGAACAGCTACCATAATTAACATGCGAATCAAATCCAATAAGGTTAATCAGTTACAGTTGTTTTATCGGATAAATTATGAGATGATCATTGGCTCTAAACCTAGTAAACATGACTAAATCCACTGTCATAGAAGCAGTGTGCTGAAAAAAAAACAGTTAAAATAAACCGAAATTTTGCTGCATAAAAATAATCATTGCACAGGGAAATGAACATACCGACATGTGTAACTGTTCGTCAGGCCTATCTTACGCAAACACATAGAACAGCGTTTGAGTCTGATCGAATTAGGGGATGAAGGTGAACGAGATTCTTCAGTCAAACCGGTAGATATGCGGTACGGAGGAGTAGGATTCGGCAGTTTCTTATCACAATTGCCTGGTCTCCTGAAATGGACAGCAGTGTTTAGCTCACTATCTCTTCTTGAAGGTAATCGAGTTGGAATAATAGTGGCCGGCTGACCTAAATAGTTAAAGAAATTTTAAGTATTAAAATTAGTTTGAAACTGCATCTTCCCACTGAGATCATGTGAATGCTATAAATAATAATAATAATAAAATAATGTACGTTAAATAACTAAAAGTACTCTACTACGTCTCACTATTAATTTTAACGGATATATTCGAGATTTCCTTAGATCATTTTGAGCTGAGTGATATTTGTTTAAGTTATAACTGATATAACTCATATATGGAGCTTAAGTAATTTAAAGCAGAACGGAAAAATAGCCAATAAATCATTTTGTGAGAAATTAGGAAATGTTTTCCAAGTTAATGGACAAAGAAATTTGTTAGACCAGTAAACGACACTAATAGTAAGTGTTTTCGGTCTCTTTATTACTTTAGTTAAAAAAAACCCTGTCATCATGGGAAAGCAGATTTCCGTGGTGCTGACAAATTTTCTAAAATATTATAAATAGTAGGGTGGCACCACATGAAAGTGGGACAAAAACTAGATCCTAAAAACGATTCTCAAAATATTTCAAGTATTATAGTCTATATATAGTAACGTATCATTTGAAACTAGTTCAAGTTATTGAAAATTCTCAAGTGTAGAGCTAATGAGCAATTTAAAATTATCAAGACAGTACGTTATGTAATCGTTTTAGAAGTATACAGTTGTAATAACTGATACAATCAATGCAAAAGAGGACTGTCTATCATACAAACAGGGTGAATAATAAGACAATTGTCATATAGTTAGGGCCCCATGGAAAAACAAGGTAGTGAACATGACTATTTTATGCACAGCGGTTGGGTTTGAAACGGTGAATTGCTCTAGCTTCAGAAATGTACAGGTTCATCATCCGAACCTTCTTTGAACCAGTTTTTTCCATGTAAATAATCGTGGACGACATCTCTCATGGTGTTCATAAGACCAGAGTTGACCACATGTTCAAAGAATGAGTTACTGATCGAATTGCATAATCCTAAAGGAGAGTAGCACTCAGATATCCGTTTACTAAGTAAACGCTTTGTACGGCCAGTATAACCTGTTCTACGAAAACATTTCGGTGGTCCTAAGGGGTAGTCTATCATAGAAACTTCCCTAAATTTTTTTTACTGGAGGAAATTCGGAGCAGCGATAAATAACACATCTTTTTCAGGGGAAGCACCACAACTGTTTCCTTCTTAAAAAACCAATGGGTTTCTTCTATTATGTTTAGATTTATTAGTGATAAGTTAACACTAACAATTCTCTACAAGTTTTCGGCAACTTGATTTGCTAAAATGAATTCGCGATGTTCTCAGCTATTCGATAAATACTATATGATGATTTATACCAAAATGATGTTGGATTAATTTGATTCACTGCAAAAAATTACCCAGTTCATCCACGTCAAAACAGGTAGTTAATTATGTTAGGAAAAATTAAAACAGTTTTGAAAAAAGGTTTTCACTAGATATTCTCTTTTCCAATCTATATACTGTACATAAACGTAAACTAATAATCAAGTGCTTTGATTTTTCGGATAGCACTTAAAACTTTACGATAAAACCAAATACCCAGAACTTTTTATGCCGCCACAATTATTTTTTTTGACTAAAAATAGTAGCTAACATGAAGTACAAAGCATTCTTATCAATCTACATAGAACTTTAAGAAGTCACCTCCGTATTATAAAGTGCTTTTTCACTAGAAATACCTCAACTGGATCATAGTTAACAGTCGTGATATAAAAGCAAAACATTACATAACAATGATAATACTAATCTAGCAAACAATTAACCATTATCAACGCAGGAAGTGGTACGAATGTGTATCGGTCTAAGCTGTAACACCTCACTTCAGTGTTCACGTCAACATTGGATCCAGAATCAATAATGCGGCGATTCTATTAAATAAAACCGAACAGGTACATCTAATCCATTTCAATGAAAGTTAGCTTCCAGTATACGTGAGATTACACTAAATACTTATCCGTTATGAAGCTGATGAAACTCTTAAGATAACTATACTTCACTCTCAATAGTTAAACTGGGAATTGTCGTTCGCTTCTAAATATTTCGAATCTAGAAAAAAGAAAAGCGTTCAAAATATGCTTTTCTATCACTTAGGAGACTCAGTATTAAGTCAATGTCCTTAGTACATAGAACTACTATCTTGGTATTCTAACTGGTTAAGTGAATTGCATCTTTAAACTGAGTTCAAAGATCCTTTTGGTTTAAACATTAATGAAAACCTTACTTTGGACTTAATAAAATAATAATTATGAACTTATAACAGTAAAGTCTGATGTCGCAGTTATTTAAAACAATAGTTAACTCAAATATTCTTTGATTTTGCGAGGATTAGTTTTAAGCGTCAGTTTTGTGGAATAAATACTAGCAAGACACTTTTGTTACCTATTAGAAAGTAGTATGCGAATGTAGATCATTCTCGTCACAGGACCTAATGCTGAAATGACATTACATACGATTAATGGATTAGATGTTAATATTGAAGAGAAGGCACTTTCCTCATCACCATATATCGATGTGCAAGTGAATTTATGCAATTTGTTACGCATTTTACTACAGTAAGATAATATACACACGAGTAAAAGGTACCTGTCAATACTGAACTTCCCAAACTTGGAAAAAACGAAGCTGAGGACGAAGGTGTTTTCATAGTAATCGAACGATTCCTGATTGAAGTACTATGACTGGAACTATCGGGTTTTGTTGATTTATTATCTTGAAAATTGACTGGATGTAGCTGATTGACAGAAGCACTACATAACACTGACTCTTTGGGTGATGAATCGCTCACTAATGTTGTGAGGTTTCCATTGGGAGACGAAGGTTGAGTTATGGATTTTGAAGGCTCCAGGCACAAAGAGTTCTCAAAAATATCACCCTCTAAACTTCTTGAAATACGCTCTGAATAGGGCAGAGAGGGTAGGATAGTACTCGTCGGTTCAGAATCATTAATCTGTGGATCGGCTGTAGTGATGAGGCGGTTAACATCGGGAGGGGTGACAGTAGCATTGCGACGTTGATGATTCCGATTTTTAGTGTCAGTCTGCAGCGACCTATTATGCAAAACACACAATTTAGGGTCTGCCAAAAATATAGTGCTATATCATGCACACAATTAAAAGCTAAATGACATATTCATACACTATTTAGCTACAACGTCCAAATTAGCTTCTCGCGATGAGTAACATAGATTGTAATGTCGTAAAAACTAAAATAATTAGCAAATCTATGTATTAGATCACTAATGGCTGAACATAGATGGACATGTATAATGTAAAACCTGGGAGATATGTGCGATGTTTTAGGTCATTATTGCATATTAGCACAGCAGGACAAAGCAATCAACCTGTGTCACACGAGGAAATTTCAGGATAGACTTAATCCACATGCACTAATTCGAAAAGTGTTGAGCCAAGTCGTCCAAAGTCTGTGATCATTGATCAAACCATTCGCTCGAACCGCAATCAGATTGTTTACAAAGACTCACGCGACCCAGCTCTGCGATTTCCTGAATTTATGCCGCATTTTGGTTTAGTTGTTTTTGATTTTCTCCCAGACTAGTCCTAAACCAGGCAACATCGCCTGTCAAGGTAAGTTGTGGTTGGGCATACATACCACATACTCCAGCAACCTCAGTAGATGAAAGTTCGTTACCACAACAAAATTTCGAAATTCGTGCCGAGAAAATGTTAGGTATAAACCTAAAAGTGTTAAGACTTCCAAGACTAGTGGTGGTGGGCGTACTCACTACTTACTATCATCAAATTGAGCGTTGATATAGACCACGCCAGAGGTAAAACTTTGCACTTAGAGTTGTAAAAGCATCCGAAACAGGCTTTCATAATTGTTTTAAGAGATACGAAGTCTAAATTTTGTAAGTATCTAAACTGAGAAAAGCAAGTCACACGTGTAAATCTCTTGGTAAGAGAATGAGCCCTACAAAATCATCTGACGGGATCACCACTGCTAAAAGAATATCATTGACGGAGTCAAACATTAACAAAGAAAGTGGATGGCCCAGACGAATTTAACATAAGCTTTAACTCAACCAGAAGTGTTTGCGTATAGAACATATAACGTTAATGTAATTTGTTCACACGTATACTGATGCTCAACCTGAGCTGCTATCTTGGAGTGACGGTCGGGTTTGCCTGTCGTGATGACCCAACCGAGCTATATTGGCTGGAACATATGTTCCTGTGAGTTCTACCATTCCAGGCAGGTCGATTGGGGAACGATGAGACTAAAAGCATCTACCCAAGGTCTGAGGCGAAGTCGTACTGCTGACTGCAGAGGGGTGTGACAGCAGTAAGGTGTTTAACTCGGACAACCAGCATCTGCAGCGATGCTGCCTTCTCACAAGGAAGGAAGGGTGAGAAAATGTCGACCCTACTGAGATCCACGGCTTCTCCCTAACCTTATAATTTACCTTACTAGCAGATATCAGTTGTTTCCACAGCCTTTTAGATATCGTTCCAAGCTGCATCGTGGTAGGAATCACTAACACGGACACCTAACTGTTTATCTAGTTGCTCATGAAATACATATTCTTAGCTTTGCTATCATCAAGTAGAACCTTACAAGGTTTATTTGCGATGTCTTTCCAAAGTCCAGTAAGACGCAAACAAATACACGCTTGCACTATAGCATGATCTGAACCTATACATGTGCCCCAGAATGAGGTAGTCTTTTATCGAACCCCTCCATCGGTGGCTGATAGCAGAGCTGGTGAAGTGCTGGCTCGAGAAAGCCAGACCGGTTTCCGTCCTGTACGTGGATGTAAAGACCAAATATTCACTCTTCATCAGGTCCTGGGACATTTTGATGACCCACTATATTTGTATTTCTTGACCTTAGCGGGATTCCACTCTGTCGATCGTGAGGTTCTGCGGCACTGTCTGTCATTATAAGGCGTACACCAACCTTATGACAACTCTACTTGAACACTACTGGTCGAGTTAGAGCTTATGGTGAACTGTCACCGGAATTAATTACTTCAAGTGGTGTTCGTCAGGGATGTCAGCAGCCACTATTGCTATAACAGAGCGCTTAACTTTTTGGAGAAGGTTAGAAAGGTTTGTGCAAAACTCAGCTTTCACCTCGTCTGAACTGTAATCAGTGGGAGCGTAGGCAACGGTAGGTTTTCTTATCTTTCAGAGTCTTTATTGTCCCGTTTAGTCGGACAGCCCACGAGTATCTATCTACTGGGATCCAGTATAAGAGGGCTAGTTCTGCCCTAAGACTAAATACTATACCTACATTAAGGAGGCTACGGGAAGCAGCACCGGTGCTTCCAGGTGCACGGAGATTAAACAGACTTGATTCTTTACCTGAACAAGGCGGAATCAAATGAATGATTTTGCTCGGATCGTGTATGCGCGTTTTGGAGACGCAGCATACATCGATGCCACGGGATCCCATAGTCCTATCTAAGGAAGCTTGTTGCCCTATTTGACAAAAGGGTGGGAAATTGAAAACTCCAATATGTAGTTTAGAACGGGGTTTCAGGAGACCAGGAATAACGTTTTTTGAACTCGAATCGCCAGCATTAGTGGTGCGGGGTGATGAAGGAATGTGAGAAGGGTTAGTCGTGGAGATAAGAGGGATGTTAAGGGGTGTAAGACGGATTTGATTGTGTTATCTCTATTTAGAGAACTGTGAATCACTTATAGAGCTCCGTATTATTATCAAAATTATTATCAACGATTCATGCCCTACCGAAATGAATATAAACTGGTAGTGAAAATAGAGAAGGAAATAAATTGTGAGAATGCTAAATCGAATGTAACACACCTGTTGACAATATACTTTGGAAAATGAGACGCATCTTTCAAACAACTCAATGACGAAGTTAGATGTGATAAATGATTTCTGTTAGTCTGTGTGTTTGTCCATGAAAGATTACATGATTCAGCAGTAACTTGCTTGGAGTTTTTTTCCCAGTTGGTAATATCTAAAACAGTAGAAAAAATAGACTATTCAAACGACTAGAAAAATTTAGGCAAAACTGAAAACTATGGTACCTTGGTATGGTTCGTGGAACCAAATAAAAACTATGCCTATCATACGACATAAAACCTAAGTGTTGGAAACTAGTAGTTAAATTTAGATCATCCAATTAGCGATCAACACTATGCTACCATGAATTTGGAAGTCTGGTGATAAATGTGTGGAATAAATTATTCATACCTAAAGACAAGAATGTTAAAAACATTGCACAGAAAAAATAACTAGTCTTATTAGAGTGGCGAGTGAACACACTACATTTAATAATTTAAGGATTTGAATGTTAGCTAAAAGCCAGAACACACTACTATTCAGGATTTATATAGTAGACATGAATTATGCTAGAACGTTATATGAATAAAACCACAATTATTAGTTTCTTTTGGTTTTGACGCCTAATTTACGAGGAGACTTAGGCTTGCTTATTATTCGTCAGCGATCTAGATATATCGTAAAACGTCAGAAAGAAATTCAGGTGAAAGGTAATCGTAAGACTTTAAACATACTTCCTGGAGTCCAAACTCATACATTTTATTGGATACATAAATTAACGATTAGGTATTTCAGAATAACAGAGCTCAAAAGGTATACCGTGAGATTGATCTTTAGCTGAATTTTCTTCTTTACATATAGGATATTCAGTAGTTTGCGCATTTTGAAATCGGCTTTGCTTCCTTAGGCGAACATTTTCCATTTGAGTCTTCAAACGTTTTACTTTTTCTGCCAGCTTATCGCACTCTTGATGCCAAGCAGAATATTCAGCTTGGTTGACATTATGAAATCCATTAATTACAGTCTGCAAAGTTCCGCAACTACTACCATAGTGCCAATTGTTAACTCCACAAGAACTGTGAATGGTACAGTTGGAATATGATTGATAATCAGTAGATACGAACGGTAGACTAGGATTATCTGTCGGACAATAGAATAAATAGTCTTCCAAATCAGTTAGACTACCATCATCATTTAAGCCGCAAGAGGTAGATCTCCTACTGTCATCATCCAAACCTAATTCATTTTCATCCCGATCAGTATCCGCTTCAAAAGTGATAGGAGTAACTGAATCAAATTTTTTTTCGGACCATTCACTGTCAATATATCCGGAATTTTTGAGAAGATTTTGTTCATTTTTTTCCAGTGGGGAAGATGCTTTTCTGAATAAATGGTACAGATAACGCGACCTATCAGAGTAGTCAGTATGTGTTTGATTAGGAACAATCCTAGCAAGGAGACTAGCAAGGATATTTTCTGTTGCGAGTTCAGTTGCTTCCGTATTGCTACAATTATCAAGGTCGTCAACACTACTGACCTTGTGTCCTTTAAGCACTCTTTCTAAGTTTATTTTATTTTCTTCAAAATCACTGATGGTTAAAGAATTCTCTGATTCTTGATCCCGTTTGTGTAAGACAGAAGGAATATTATAAGTATTATATGAATCCCAACTAGATGGAAGATTTTCCTGATTTGATGCAGAATAGAATTCAGAACAATGAATTGATGGCAAAAATGGAGATAAATTCGAGGAGTGAGGAATAACAATTGAATCATTGTAAACTGCCATGGCTACCAAGACACTTGATTCTGCAGTTAAGGCATTTGTTGAATCTTTCTCAAAAGAGGATAAACTATTATTTTGAGTGGAAATATGAGCAGCATCTGTAATGTTTTCATTCAGCGAACTTATTCTAGCAATCACTTCCAAATTTGGAGGACTTTTATCAATGATGTTGGAATTTCGCCCGCCTAACTCAGAACTATGGAAAAACACGTTAAAAGCAAATTACTGTTATGGACTAGATAACGAGAATTCATAAAACTATTATAATAAAAAACTAGAACTTTCCTTATTGGGAAGTTTTTCAAACGAACTACAGTGCTTAATAAATAGATTATTCCATCAATTCTAGTGGTACTAGGACTAAATCCCCAATGATTACCTACTAGATTATTCAATACTATCGGTCACAGTACCGATAGTAAATAACATTACAAAGTAATCAGAATGCAGACTGAGATCCTTCTGATACACTACTGCACAAAATAACTACTTTCATCCTTAAAAATCAAACGAAACATTAATATCACAAGCAAAAATATAGAGGCTCTGGCACATAATATGGCTGTTATCATCCTCAACCACAGTACTATAAACAAAAATATCTCTTTTGAAGAACGAGAATGACAATCTCGATAAACACAAGAAAGCAAGAACAACATAATCTTCACTTTATACGGTTTGTACCAAACATGGTTAAGACTGCTATCATCATTATTACCTGTAGAGACACTAATCACCATAAATGAGTGCAATAGGAAAGAATTCAAACATATCCGCTCAATGTTATGTATCACATCCCTCTGACGTTGGCTTACCATGTGAAACTTGTTTGAAACATGAGATGAGACATGCATCCATAATCTAGTGATTTTAAGCATTTTTCGAAATCCACTAAACAAAAAGTGTTAACAACTAGTATTGTAAAGGTGAGAACCTGTATAGTACAATAATAGTTGATTCTCACGAAAAATTAAGTTGATTTTGTGGGTCAATGACATGCAAAATCTACAGAAATTTCACAAAAAAACACTTCATAATGTAGAATGATTAGAATTACTTTGATGAATTTTCCATATTAACAGAGCTGTGAGAAATATCTGTGAAATTGACGTTCACGGTTTTCGGTGCCACAGAAGAGGAAACTCTGTTAGATTCTGGCCGAGCATCTACCAAAGGAACAAGAGGTTTTGATTCCCATGCACGACTGCTTGTTAACGCAGTACACATTTTTGTTTCGTCTATTTTGCGACAGTCCGCGCCAGTTTGTTTAGATGTTCCCAAAATCATATCGGAACGTTCTCCCAACTCAGTGTTTCGTGATTGTACTATACTTGGTTTCACCTTTGAAGTTAAGATGTTTGAATGTACGAAACTGTTGCTACAGGTAGAGTTAGACATTGAAGTGAGGGGAGGCATAGTGGTTTTTGATAAATGAATAGGTGTCAGATGCTGTGGTGGGGTTTTCTGCGCATTAAGTGGACCATCTCGAAGACTTAAAACCAGGTACAACGTAGAACCCTCAGATATGAAGTAATCTCCCAAGCAATAGTGATTACCAAGTTCGCAATTTCGCCAAATCAGGTGTTGCCGATCTACGGGAATACCTGGAACCAGAAGAAATTTAGAATAAGAACGTAGAAACTTCTTGGCTGAGATCCACAACAAATTCAGTAATACCTTAACAAAGAAACTAAACTAGCAAAATTTTCTAACGCTAGGAATACGAATTATCATTTTCACAAAATAGACTTCCGCATAAGAGGAATATGTGTGAAGAGGTTAGGAGTTTCGTCATCGTGGAAACGTTAGCGTTTAAATGAACTTTTGAGGACTGTAATTTCTATAGTACAGGAAAACGAGTGCATGGAAATCTTATGCTAGTCTTACTAATATTAGTTGACCATTCTCCATTTTTTATTTTGGTTACTTCATACTGCTGGTGCTGTTTTACTTTGTTGCCTTCAAGTTGGTCGGGTAGTGGCGATGGGAACCAATCAGCGTTTGGAATTTTTCAATGGTTGCGCATTTTTTTCCTCCTAATTCGTTTTTTCTAGTCACTAGGATCTTCATTCAGTTTAAATTTTGTAGAGCATTCTTTAACTCGCTTGGTTTATATACTGTTTCAAGAGATCGATACCACACATCTACAGTTTACGCTTTAAATGAGTATTGGTAATTAAGACCTGCTACAGCACACGAATATTGTCATGCTGTCAGCAAAGGCCTGAAAGGGACTTATGAACGGATTAGTATTTGGATCTGATCGCAGGCGTTCACTTTTGAGCTCTTCCAAATTGGGATTTCACTGACCTTAAACTATACACTGATCGATATTAGTTGCGAAGGCAACAACAGTTTTATCATAGAGTACGGTTAATCCGCGTCTACTCATATATACTACTAAATCACCGATCGCTAAAGTCACATGGTCCAAGACATGTAAAATTATGGAGGATTTGGAGCATCGTTAGGATACAACAAAAACTGACTAGGGTTTCAGCTGACAGAACTGGACCAGAGATGAGCAAGTCATACTCAAACGAAATAAAATATTTTCAAAATGGTCAGGAAAACATGAAAGTAGCCTAGTAACACGAGTGACTAACCATCTATCTGGAAACAGACGTAGGACCTGGTAGAAATATGTCGGCACTTCACATCAACACACTTGGAAAGCTAATGTAAGACCATGAAATAAGGCAAACAAAGCTAAATGTAGGAAGGCTGTCACAAGCGGATAAAGCTGGGAATAAAAATAATCCGATTATAGTATGCCAAAAGGCGAAAGATACGCCAAAACTTTAATGGATAAGTGCTTTTCAACACAACGCTTAGCTTTATGACCGCAAATGAGTGGAAAAATTGCACGCCGATATATTGACAGACAGCCTGTCACTGATGATCTAAGACTTAAAATGCAAAACATTGAGTATGAGAGGTAGACAAATTCGATCTCATAGGGCTAGTGAGGATATTCAGATAAGTATCTAGCATGTTTAAGTACACTCTTAAAGGCGTAACTAAAAATCAGTGTAGGCCAATCCTGGGTCAGAATTGAAACCTCATTCAAAATGTACCGTAGACTCCTTTGTTAAGGTATCTAGAACATGGAAAGGTTCGTGTGTTACCAAGTCATTTGAAAACCCTGCTCTAACATCACCGATGAGTATGGACGCATTTTAATAGCACTACTCTATAGTAAAGTCACTATGAGGATGTCGGCAGATGTATCATTATATTTTGTAACAAGCTACATTTAGTAGTATACAAGACCTTAAATAAATCGTCTAGCATCATCGCCTGCCCGATAAGAAATTGCAGTACTAAAAGAAAATTAAACATTTACACTAAAAGTAGGTGCCTCCTTACATTTGCCGAAACCAAGTAACGGAACAACAGAAAATCAAGGTGACTGTAGAACACAAAATAATAAAATAACCAGCAGACGGACACGAAGAACTGGAGCCATCATATCTGGTGAATAAGTACACAGAATAATCTGTTGCAAAAATCAAGAAGATTCAGAAGTAGGTACACTTACCTTTGGCTCCCTGGATTTTGAATTTGACTGACAGGATCGTTTCAGTCGGGGAAACAATCAACTCGAAAGACAAACCAGTTAATGTTTGTATAAAAATACCCATGGGTATGATTATTCTGACTGCACGCAGAATTTAGAAGGAATATAGAAATTATGAACAATATATAACGAATAAAGAATGTTCATAGGATCAGCAAACCGTAGTTACGTTATTGCGAATACCACACACTTTGATTTTGCGCCACATGCCTGCAAGGGTGTAACGCATTCGAAACCTTACTCTATCAACTCCTAGTTTCGTTTATCAGTTTGTCTTAATCTCACGCTGGCTTAATATCTGATTGCTGTCTATTTATTCGTATATTGCATGTAAGTGCATTCTATGTGCTTACTGAGTCGTCGGCTCATCTTTTTCTCTTGTTCTTTCTTCTTCCAGATAATCTCATACGCTGCTCCTCACATCCCCTCCAAGCACACAAGGTACCTTCGGGCTAAACGCAAACCAACCAAAGGCTGAAGTTACAAGGGTACACACATATTGTGAGATAAGAGACTTGATGTTAAATGTTATATTTCCGTACGGTCCTAAACATTCTTAGGCGTTTTCTCTCAACGTGTTGGGTTACTTCTAAACACATTGGCGATACTTGCATTGAGTATTTGATTGTAAGCACCAACAAAGAGTATGGATAAGTCAAGCAGTTCACATACAGTTAATATTTACTGAACTAAATTCATACTTTTATGATCAATATGGAAGCATCTATTTTTTTGAGTATTTCTTGCTCATATCCAGCCCTATTCTGTCAAGTGAGATAATTGACGATTATTCTGTCTCAGAACAACGTACATATGGAGCCAAATAAAAACTCTGAAGAAACAGTTCTGCGAGCCCTTGACTTTGACGTCGACCTCACTAGTCTTGGTGGCTACACCTTGCTGAAGGCTCTCGGTCACACATCCACAACAGATCACCTTTGGGTTTGCCACGCTACTTATCCCGTCGCATCATGCGGCAAGCCTAGTTCAATCTCTCCTGAACATTCCAAACAACTTTTAAATATACCTCCGAGACCCTTGCTTCCTAACTTCTAGTATGACTTGGCTTTGAATATCATTCATCTGAAAGGTGTTATGGACTCAAGTGTTTTCCAATCCTTAATATCTGTAAATTTGCTCAAAGTTCACTCATTATTTAGCATTTGGATTGTGACTTTTGTAATCGCTGATTTAGTAGTATATACGAGTGAACATGGATTAAATATACTATGACGAAATTGATGATATTATTGGTATTTTATATCAATCATCTTTTGGTTACTGTTGTGAGAAATGATTTAAATAGAAGTAAACAAACTTTGGAAGCCATTCTTTTGAGGTATTATTTGTATATAATGTCTACATGTTTGTTCATCAGATATGTATGCTCCTTTTATCATAAGCTTTCTTCTATTCCATAAATTACTACTCGTGTCATGTTGACAGTTTATCACCTATAATCTTTCTTACTCTCCGTCACTATTGGCTTACTGATATATAGTTGTTATTTTCATTTGTTGATACAATGTGATCTAGTTGTTTGCGCATATAGGAGAATTTCCGATTTCTGATAAGGGAAAAATCTTTGTCTGGTGGTAATTAATCTTGGTTCTTTTTCTCCAACTGAGGTAAGTTAGTGATTGGCCATCGTTTCAACATCGAGTAATTAGGTCTTCTGTCCTTGTTCTGCATCGTTCGCTAAAAGGAAAAAAGAGACGAATGGTTTAAAAAGCAAAAAGAACCCGGAATTCACAGTCGTTTAACATTTCAGACATAAAAAGAAGTAACATAAATTTACCAACTAACAAGCAGAGTTGTCCACAGCTCCTGCAACTCGCAGGTTTCGAACCCAGAACATTCGATCTTCTATAGTTCCTGCTATTGATTCCAGGCTTGTTGTTTGAATCGCACTTCGAACTTCCTTCACCACTGTGTGCTTAACCTGAGTCTCATATCAACTACCGACCTCAGACACACTGCTGCTTGAACACTCACTGGTTTTACTTGCTAAGCTATAGAGTGATTAGGAACTGGAACAAGCATACTGCGACATGACCTGACATTTTTGCGCAAATTGATGTATTTTTATGTGATATTTATTGTCCCTTTTGAGTGACTCTATTAGAGTTTTGGTATTCATAAATTCCTCGTTTGCCACATTGCTTTAATTGTTCAAACATGGTAGTGAGTAATTCACTAATTTATGCAAATTATATCTAAGATTACGATCACTTTATTTAGGCAGATAAGGTGAGTAAAGGATACTAGAAATCAAATCTTTAGATAATCTAATCTAGTGTAGTGGAAGAGTTTTACGAAGAGAACGTGACTGGCTTAATAGAAACATTAATTAATATAGCGGATTCTAGCAATGATAGTTTACGCTCTTTGCGCAAAACTTTCTGTTTGCGTAGATACCATTTTTGCTCTAGCTGCTCTTTCATTTCGCCCGATTTCCTGGTGTAATTTAAGTGTTCTTACGACACCACGGAATCAGTATCTACGGTCAAACTTGAGAAGTATAGATCCCAAACTAGAGAAAACTTCTTCCTCACTAAGTATGCACTTATATGTAATAGCCTTCCCTCAAAAATACGCATGGCAATTGGGTTGCATGCGTTTGTTCAACTTCTTAATGATGCTCTCACTTGCACTGACTTTTCTGCACTCTTGAACTCACTCACACCCTGCTTCCATATTATTAGTTATTATTTACCACATGCGCCACTCCTTGGATGTGTTGTCTTGACCGAATATAGTTTACGGTTAAGAATTTTTTCATCTATCTGAAGTTCTGAATTATCAAAGAAACTGGGATTAGTTACAGGATTATTAGAATGAAAATCGGTATAAACTACTCAGTTAAGCTTCACTTTGTCTACATGTCTGCTGTGAACTGAATGGTCACCTAAGTAAAGAAAGTTTACAATCCAATTACCCATCCGCTGAATTGTAATTCTTGTGGATCTGTAATAGTCATTTCTTCAGTAAAACTAGTTCCAGTTACGTTTTATTAACCAATTGAATTTGAGGTAGGCGAGACTTGAAGAGTTTATCCTGACGCCTATGAGTTCGTGAATGTTCCGTATCACGATACTGAAGTAAGGAACTACAAATGTATTTTTCTAGTCATTCTATATTATTTGGATTCACCGGTGAGATAGCCCTCCTCAAATATCGAATGAATTTTCTGCTACCAACAAGTCTGACGAGCGAACGATTATATTTTCTCTGCTTCAAAGAAATTCGTTGGTTTACACTAGCTCGCGAAAAAGATATTGGATATTGGTATTAGTAGTTAGCTTTTCCATTGTGTGAAGTTCTGTAGTAGGCGAAAGAAAGCGTAACTGATACCATCCCTCTGTCCATATCAGCTAGCGTTGATCTATAATTTCTCGGTGTTTTCCAAGCACATGACTTGGAACGTTGACAAACCTTTTGTGTATGTTCAACCCTTCCACATTTGTAGCAGCAAACGTGACCGAACTGACATGAGCTATGAAGATATAGTTTACCTCATGAAAGACAAAGTTTTACATTCAAAGACAAATTGATAGATACGTCTCTGAACAAATAACTTCCACGGATGAATTGAAACTTTTCTTGCTAGAATAAATCTATGGTCTCAAAACTCGTTGACAGCGCGCGCTTCGAATTTGACGCGTTCTCGCTGACTCTCTTCCATTTACGGGAAACAATCCACTTTCGGGATACTTTATCACCTCCGAAGCTATAAAAAGTTGTCTCCATTGATTGGTTGACAATCTGAAAACATTTTTTGGCAAACGGAACCATTCCAAGTCAGAACCATTGTGCGGTAGGTCTAGCTACCTCATTAAGCTGCTCTATTTCTAGTTGCTTCGGCAGCGTAGATACATCCACTCACTTACAAACACAGGACTTGTGGACAAGTTACTGGATACACGCAAAGTTACTTACTAATACGGTCAAAGGTAAAGTTGCAATTTTGGAGTACTTTCAGGCTCTATTCCTTGTAGTTTTATTATATACTACTAAATTTCTTCTTTCCTTAATCCCTTTTGTGTGTATATCGTATTCTAATTATCTCGGTATTCACCTCCTAATCTCCTTGGTATCATGTCAAGTAATAATGTCGCTAGTACACATTACACTATAACAACCAGGAAAACTTGCAGAGGCATAAACCCCGGAGTCGATAGTGCGTTAAAATCCCAATATCGTGCGAACGGGTTGTTGAAAAACCCAAACAGTCAGTCGATAGAACGCCTCTCAGTGTCCATACTTTAGATAACTCAACGCAGACACCACAGAGGAAGCAAGACACCACTCCTATTCCTAAAAAGACCAGTAAGCTAGTTAAGAATAGGAGAAAAAGACGCTCCAAGGCTCGGTCGGCACAGTCCAACGACCAGAAACAGCATAAGGATGACTGTTTTACCTGCTCATTATCAGTCAAAATCAGCGACCATGCTTTCGAATGCAACTTCTGTAGTACATGGGTACATTGTCACTGCGACACTACAGTACCCAAAGAGTACTACGGATTCATGCTGAGTCACCCTTGCCCATGGTTTTGGTACATTTGCCCTCGGTGTAGAGTCTCTGAGGCACTGACAAAGCTACAGGTCCCACCCAAAATCAGCCCTAAAGTCCAAACGACCAAACCAAAATCGCCTGACACTAAACCAGTAAAACAAGTGACCAAGGCCACTACAACCCTACCTAACACACCGACAAAATTGCCGGTTGTTGTTAACCCCCCAGTATCTGCTAGCAATACAAAATAGTGGGTGCACATGAAGAAGGGAAAGAGCAACACCCCCACTCACAAGCGGCTACCACCCAAGAACAGGGACGACAGATCAAACTCACTTATTTTATTTAAAGTCCCAGTATCGGAAGAAAGCGTGCTAGAAGGTAGGGCTGCCTTCGACAAAGAGCAGTGGGATAAACACTGCTCAACCCTCGGAATGTGCGATGTCCCAGCCGAAATATGCAACCTTTTCAAAGGCCAAAATGTCTCGAAAGGAAAAACCCCTCCAATGAGGGTAACCCTCGACTCGGTACGACTTGCTGAATACATCATTCTTTCATCCCAAAGACCATTGGTCAAATTGTCCTCGCCGATTCGCATCAGGCATGACAATCCGTGGTCGGTAGGCGTAGCAGCCAGAACTGCGCCAAGCACCCAAGAACAGACCACCATCGTGTAGATGAATTTTCTACCCTAGCAGT